GGGGCATTTTCTCCCCTCTGTAGCATGAACCCCCCCACAAAGAAAACAGGGGAGGGGCATTTGCTCCCCTCTGTAGCATGAACCCCCCCAAAGAAAATGGGGAGGGGCATTTGCTCTCCTCTGCAGCATGAACCCCCCACAAGGAAAATGGGGAGGGGCATTTGCTCTCCTGTGCAGCATGACCCCCCCCAAAGAAAATGGGGAGGGGCATTTTCTCCCCTCTGTAGCATGAACCCCCCCACAAAGAAAACAGGGGAGGGGCATTTGCTCCCCTCTGTAGCATGAACCCCCCCAAAGAAAATGGGGAGGGGCATTTGCTCTCCTCTGCAGCATGAACCCCCCACAAGGAAAATGGGGAGGGGCATTTGCTCTCCTTTGCAGCATGAACCCCCCCAAAGAAAATGGGGAGGGGCATTTTCTCCCCTCTGTAGCATGAACCCCCCCACAAAGAAAACAGGGGAGGGGCATTTGCTCCCCTCTGTAGCATGAACCCCCCCAAAGAAAATGGGGAGGGGCATTTGCTCTCCTCTGCAGCATGAACCCCCCACAAGGAAAATGGGGAGGGGCATTTGCTCTCCTTTGCAGCATGAACCCCCCCACAAAGAAAACAGGAGCGGGGCATTTGCTCCCCTCTGTAGCATGAACCCCCCCACAAAGAAAACAGGGGAGGGGTATTTGCTCCCCTCTGTAGCATGAACCCCCCATAAAGAAAACGGGGGAGGGGCATTTGCTCTCCTTTGCAGCATGAACCCCCCCAAAGAAAATGGGGAGGGGCATTTTCTCCCCTCTGTAGCATGAACCCCCCCACAAAGAAAACAGGGGAGGGGCATTTGCTCCCCTCTGTAGCATGAACCCCCCATAAAGAAAATGGGGGAGGGGCATTTGCTTCAGGCCTGTGCCAAGGGGTCTGAGAGAGACAAGGGGGGTGTGGTGGTATCTTCCCTCAGACCAATTGGATGGTGAGAGAGGGAGAGAAGCTTTCCAGCCCCACAGAGCTCTTCAGGTCTGCCAGCTCTCCCCTCTAGCACAGACAATGGAGGGTCTAGTCCCAGGGGCACCCTTAGTCGCTTTCCCTGGGTGCGTCCCGCTTGCCTGTGGGGGGCTAGCTCCTGCCTGCTTTGGTGGGCGGCTCAGATCTCTGCAGAACTGCCACATGGGGCCGGGGGAGCTGCCAGTGCAATGGGCAGTGATGCCAATGAGCTCCTGATACAGCCTGGCTGTGGGATCTCCCCTCCCTCCATGCTGATCCACTTCTGTCAAGGGAGCCCCGTGAGGAATTCATGGGGCTGGTGGGATCCAACCGTGCAGTCTTTACTTGAGAACAACAGCCCTGGACCTCCATGGCCTTTAATGCACTGGCTTTGGCAACATTTGTGCCTTCTTGCGCCGCTAGAACTAGATTGGCATTAATATTGTTTGATAGTGACCCCTCCACCCCCCATACAATGTGGGGATCACTGTGAGGCCAGCCTGACTTTGCTGCATAGATGCACCATCTCAGCTTCCAGGCTGGTGCCACAATGGCTGGGTGTACCTCCTTCCCTTCACCCTCGTGGCTGGGCAAACCTCCTTCCCTGCAAACGCCTGCTGTGATTTTGCAAAAGCACACAGCACTGACTGAACGCTGATCCCATGACAGTCAGTGCGAGTCTTGCCATGGATTTCAATCGGAGCAGACACTGGGTCAAGGCTGAAGGCTTTTGAAAAGCCCACCCAGCATTATGATTATTTGTCGCTCGCTCTCCCCCACCCTCACTCACTCATTTTTACCGGGCTGGTGAGAGTCCCTTTTCGACCGGGTGTTCCAGTTGAAAACCAGACACCTGGCAACCCTAGGTGGATGAGACAGACAAGCAGGTGGGGATGGGGAGGACAGGACAGGATAAAACAAGATAAAAGTCTGTTTTGGCCCAGACAAGCTTATGGCTGTTGTTCTTAGCCAGGCTGTAGTAGGAATCACAACTCACCACCTGCCCAGCCATTATCAAATGGCAGTCTTCTCTATGTACTGTGACACAGGTAAGGTTTAAGGAGAGCCATAAAGGAAGTAGTAGCTTGGTAAGAAGTGACTAGGAGTTTGTCTGGTGTGTAAGGGGCAGCATGGGAGAAAGCGTGAAAGTGCTTGTGAGAAATGTGGACAAATGCGGGATTGGGGTGGTATCACTGGCAGAGCAAAGGTTGGCAGTGCTAAGCTAATAGGATAGATAGGACAGGCCTAAACTGTGGATGTCTTTGAAGGCTAGGACAAGAAGTTTGTGTGTGATGCATAGAAGAGGCGGAGTCAGTGGAAAGACTTGAAGAGGGGTTAACATAGCAAGGGTGGAAGATGATAGTGGCAGCAGCATTTGGAATGCAATTGACGGGGGCAGATTTTCAGGTATCGAAGTCAGGCAGGAGGATATCAAGGTATTCAAAGGGTAGTTCAGCGGCGAGCGAGCGAACTTCTGGGTTCAACTTATCGCGTCTTGTCTGGACACGATAAGTCGAACCCGGAAGTGCTCGCCGTCGACTGCGGTACTCCAGCTAGACGAGAGGAGTACCGCGGAATCGACGGGGGATCCTGCCTGCCGCGTGTGGACCGAGGTAAGTTCGAACTAAGGTACTTCGAACTTCAGCTATGTTATTCACGTAGCTGAAGTTGCGTACCTTAGTTTGAATTAGGGGGTTAGTGTAGACCTGGCCAAAGTGTAAGATGATTAGGACTTATGCAATGTGGGTAGAGCTGAAAGGGAGGCTCTTGGAGATGTGCATGAAGAAGCAAAATTTAGACACTACCTGGATATGAGTCAGCAGTGGGCCCTTGTTGCCAAGAAGGCTAACGGCATATTGGGCTGCATTAGTAAGAGCATTGCCCGCAGATCAAGGGAAGTGATTATTCCCCTCTATTTGGCACTGGTGAGGCCACACCTGGAGTACTGCATCCAGTTTTGGGCCCCCCCACTACAGAAAGGATGTGGACAAATTGGAGAGAGTCCAGTGGAGGGCAACGAAAATGATTAGGGGGCTGGGGCACATGACTTACGAGGAGAGGCTGAGGGAACTGAGCTTATTTAGTCTGCAGAAGAGAAGAGTAAGGGGCGGGGGGGATTTGATAGCAGCCTTCAACTACCTGAAGGGGGGGTCCAAAGAAGATGGAGTTCGGCTGTTCTCAGTGGTGGCAGATGGCAGAGCAAGGAGCAATGGTCTCAAGTTGCCATGGGGGAAATCTAGGTTGGATATTAGGAAACACTATTTCACTAGGAAGGTGGTGAAGCAGTGGAATGCGTTACCCAGGGAGGTGGTGGAATCTCCATCCTTAGAGGTTTTTAAGGCCCGGCTTGACAAAGCCCTGGCTGGGATGATTTAGTTGGTGTTGGTCCTGCTTTGAGCAGGGGGCTGGACTAGATGACTGCCTGAGGTCTCTTTCAACCCTAATCTTCTATGATATAGTGTAGACAAAACTGAGATTATAGGCTTGTGTGAAACATACATTAATTACAAAATTCTCCCACATGGTTTGCACCCATCAAAGTAGTTCTTTATTATACCTGACTTGATCAGGGCCCAATCCTGCTCCCATACAACTAACTGGGATCGTTGCTGTACACTTCAATGAGAGTAGGTCAAGCAGCCATAGCTCTCAACAAATCCAGCACCCAAAAGTGTGACCCTAGATTTTGTTGATGTGTGAAAAAGATCCAAACTAGGGATATCCAAAATTAACAGAGGAAGAAGCTTGAAATTATGGTGGGGCAGGTGTGGGAGAGGGGGTTCTCTGCAAATGGTATAAAGTTTTCCACAACTTACATCAACACTTATTTCAAAGTAATAAATGGAACAGAGAAGGTATATCATGCATTCCTATTTGCCCTTTCTCAAAATACAAAAATAAGGGGATATTCAATTAAATTAAAGAGCAACACATTTAAAACCGAGAAAAGGAAATGCTTTTTGTATACAATGCACCCTTAACCCATGGAACTCATTGCCACAAGGTGCTGCTGAAGCCAAGAATTTAGCAGAAGATTAGATATTTGTATAGATAATGAGAGCATCCACAGGTACATAAGATTGGGGCACCACCAGTGAAATGAAGAGTCAGGACAACTGAGTCTTTTTTTTTTAAGAGTGCTTCTGATCTATCAAACTCTAAAATAAAATTCCAACAATTTTAAACCATAGGAATAATTTTCTGTGCTCACTTGAGATTGATGTGTGCTGATAGAGTGGGAATGAGGGTAAGAATTCAGTGCATAT